AAAAAAAAAAAAAAAAAAAAAAAGGAAGTTTGAAGGTATATCCACCATATTATTCTTGTAAAACGACACAAACCATGGTTCCTATAAACCTTGGTTGTGTCTTATTTTGAGATTCATAAGTACAAAAACAAACACACAAAATATATTAAGAAAAAAACAAAAGATACATCATTACAAAGAGCGGAGCGGAGGATAGATTGATGGTAATTAATCCACCTTATTCTACTGACCCAACCATGCCAACTTTTTTACTATTATACTGTTGGAATTCTGCTTGAGCCAAGTTTTTACACCTATCCGCAGGTCTTCAGGTGAGCACAGCCATATCAGAACCAGCAGTGGAGTATTCTTTACGAACTCGATTCTCGTTTTCAAGAGCTTCAAGGAGGCTACAAGTCTAAAGATACAAAAGCTTATGAGTTATATAAAATACTAGGGAGGCCACATTATTGTACCACATCGAGTACTGCTTCTCTAATAAAAGTGCTCGTGGGTCCTCATCAACGGCCCCATTTTATTATTATTTAGTATTTATTTCTTTACCCTAAACCCTAAACTGAAGTCCTGCTATGCTAGCATTTACTATCAGAAGAAGTAATAAAAATCCAATTTATTAACTACCCCTGTTTTAAAACTCATTAGTTAATTAATTAATTAATTTACCTGATTTCCATGAGAAATTTTGAATGTTGATGTTATCTGATGCAATGCAGAAGGCATCTCCTTTTCAGCAACCACCATAAAAGTCTGAAGATCATTTGGCTTGGTACAGTTTGGTTTCAGAGGCATGGGATAAATACCCATTTTCCAACCAAGCCGGAAATTGGAGAAGAGCAAACCTGAAGATTTATGTTTATTGTATGTAGGAAAACAAAAACAATCATCTGAAAATTCTACACGTAAATCCTTGATTAATTTATTCTTACGAACAAAAGGGAATATATAATTATTTTGATTGAGCATTTGTTCATTCTAAATTTTTATTCAGGCCCTTTGACTTTCCTCAACGTCAGTATTTTCCAACAGTATTTTTCCTACATTATGGTACAGTTCAATTATATTGTTTTCAAACCCAGTGAACTACTCAACCCAAAATAAAATGAAAATGCAATTTATTGATTTTGACAACTACGACCACAGAAAAAAATAAAACCATTAAAATGCAAAACATGAATCCATCTAGTAATGTGCGCTCTGACTTTTTTTTTTTGGTGAGATAGTAATGTGCGCTCTGACTTTGAAGGTATACTAGTATGACTATCGAGTCCTTATGTGTAGAAGTGCTCGTCTAATCCTATGTTTGCCTTTTTTTTAAAAAAAAAATTTATAACAGTTTTAAATTATTATCACCTTGGTATAAAAAAAAATTACACAAATTCCCTAAACTAACATTAACCGGTGCATTAATTTAGTGGTAATTTGAGCTAAAGATTGATTATCTAATGAAATTGTTCTTTGATAAAATAAAAAAGAGACTATACGTACCCAGAACATCGGAGAAACCCCACGTAAAGCAAACAAATTTTCCTCCCGATTTTAAAACTCTATTTACCTGGAAATACAAAATTAGTACTTTATGAGAATTAGCCTAAGTACTAAAACAGCGAGTATTGATTAAAAAGAAAAAGTTCGGCTATTTAAAATTGAGGAGGAGCTCCTCAATAAAACCAATGTGGTTTTGACACTCGGCAAATTCCTTTAGAATTTGAGAAGTTTTGCTCAAATATAAGGAGGGTGTGACAGTGAAACATCATGCAAATTAATCAAGTCCACGATACCTCTGATAAATATTGATTCCCCTTCTTAAGACCAAACTCGGGCTCTATCAAGGCATCCAATCCACCTTTGTCAACCACAACGTCAAAGCTCTCATCTTCAAACTGCAAATATAAACATGTAGCGGTGTTTGTTTTTGTGTTTTTGACAATGTGATATTCTAAATGACTCTAACGTACTTGAATGAGGATCGAACTCGAGTACAAAAAGATCGGCACATTGTCTTGATCAACCGGACTAACAATACAAAAATTTCACCAAGTTGTGAATAGGTAATTAATTTATTACCTGCATGGTGGTCATGTCCATGACTTGCCATTTCATACCAGGGCGTTGGCACGCATTGCGGTGCAGCATATCAGACACGGCAACCTCAGAGAAGTCAATGTTCGTGATGGCCTTAAACCCAGCGTCGTAGAGGTGATCAGAGAGGTTGGAAACGCCGCAACCCGGAACGAGTATTTGCAGCGGTAGGGTTTGGGACTGGAGCTTCGAGAGGTGGGCGAGGAGTGGGCCTCTGAGGTCGGCCCACTCAGCGTACCACTCGAATTCATTGTCACTGCCTCGAATGGTGAAGAACCTGTCCCAGTTCTCTTTCACTGTGAAGCCTTCTAGTGTTCCCAATATATTCTCTAATTGCTCCAGCTTCATTTTGCTATTTTTAATTTGTATCTCTGTGTTGCATTTGAGCTTTTGGTTCCTTTTATAAGTGAAAGGCGTTTGAAAACCAAACCAGGTGTTGGGAAGATATAAACAGTTGTTGCATGCATTTGCTACGTGGGTTTTTGCATGTGTATTGCCTTTACGTCATGTATACAAGTGCCCTGGTTTTGCATGATGTACTTACCATGTGTCTTGTCTAAGAAAATTGTTCAATCAATGTGGTACAGTTGTTGTTGTTGTGCGTGTTTGAAAGCCAAACCAAATGTTGTTTATTTGTTGCATGCTGGGATTTAACCAGCTTTTGCCACCAGCACCATCAACTTTGCCACCGTGGGGTTGCATTGCGTGTTGCCCTTTGCATATTTTATAGCGGGAGTGGACTCTTTTTGTCTTTAAATTTTTATTTATTTATTTTCCAACTTTGAATATTTTTAATTGTGAGAACAAGATTTCACAGGTCAATGACATAATTACACATGAACAAGAACAGAGACGAATGGACAAGATTACGCTTGAGCGCACGAAGGACTGAGATCCGCATCTAATCATACATTGATTAGGAGTAGACGGTACCGTTGATCAAGCAACTAACGCAGAGGAAGTGTGAAAGAAAACCTAATTATATATGTTATTTATTTGTTGGTTAAGGTATTTGGGCTTTTAACTAAAGACAACAAACCATATATATTCTTATGTTCTAACCCACTGGCTTTATTTCCTTTGAGTTTCATACGGAAACAAACACACAAAACACAAAATAAAAGAATGAGGTACATCATGTATCCCATGAGTTTCACCTTATTCTGAAGTCCCAACCGCGCCAACTTATTGTTCTCTTTTAGCAAATATAGATCTAGTTCCAACTTTGCAGGTCTTCAGGAAGAGATTACAGCAATACCAGAACCAGTTCTAGTGGAGGAGAATTCTCTACGAATTCGATTCTCATTTTCCAGAGCTTCAAGCTGGAGTCTACAAGCCTGCAACTACAAACCAAAGCTTATGAGAAATTCATTATCGCCTCAACACGTGCCACGTGTTCCAACTATCATTCTTGAAAATGTGGCAAGTGGTTTGCGACGGGGGCACTTGCTCACATTCTTGACGATAACACGGTTCAAATGATGTTATTAATTCACGCATTATAATATAAGTGGATAATTGTTATGAATAAAACACGCGTTATGATATGAGTGTGGACTCTTAACGCTACGAGGCGCCCTAATATAGTAAAAGGACACCAAAAAAATGCAAAAGTCTAGTTTAGACTATCACTTCCTTGTACTCAAAAAAAGAAAATGCAAAAGTCACATTCTTAGACAACATTCACCAATGCAATGATGTGATGATAATTCATGCATAACTATTCATATCATTATTATGCTAATTGTTAACATGTCACTATATCATTACATGGGTTTAATTATCATAGTATTTTAATTAGTCTCAAACTTAATTAATATCTGAATCTACCCTTACTTTAAAAACTCATTATTACCTGATTTCCATAAGTAGTGTTGAGTGATGATGATGTTGTAATCTGATGCAATATTGCAGTAGGCACCTGATCTTTTCCAGCAACCACCATAAAGGTTTGAAGGTTATTAGGTTTGGTACGTAGTCAGCTTCAGAGGTATGGCATGAATATCCATTTTCCAACCAAAGCGGAAATTGGAGTAAAGCAAACCTGCACAGAAGCATTATCTACATGCCTATATTCTTAATTACTTTGGATACAGGCACTACTAAAAAAAACCCTTGCGCAACCAAACTTTGCGCGACAAATATTAATCATCGTCGCTCAAAGTCTTACGCGACTCAATTTTGCGCAACGAAAAACAAATCGTCGCACAAATGCACTTTGCGCGACGACAAAGCATCGTCGCGAAAAGTAGCTTTGCGCGACGAATACTAGAGTTCGGTGCACAGTGTTTTGCGCGACGAATAGTGATTAGTCTCGCAAAGTATTTACAAAAATAAATAAATAAAAAATTATTTTTAAAAAATTTTGGATGCCTTATAATCTTCGTCTCGCAAAGTCTATTCAAAAATAAATAAAATAAAAAAATTATTTTGCTAGAAAAATATATTATTGTAGTTCGGATTGGGTTTTTGTTAGAAAATAAATATTTTAAATTGACAATCGAATTGGTTCATTGTATTCATATAGGGTCAAGGAATGTAGCTGTAAAAAATCATCAAAATCGAAATTGAAATAACCGTTAAATCGTGATTTTTCGTTTATAACCGTTGAAAAGTTTTGTCCTATTACTTTATCTCTAAATGTTTATTTTTTCCGATTTTTGGCGCATATGATCTCGAAGTATAAACAAACAAGTTTGACGGTTGGATCGTTAAAACTAGTTTCGTAGAATGCGTATGCCATCAAAACAATATATTCACTAACAAATAAGAGTTTATTTATACTTTTATTAAATATAACACAAGATTTTGTGGTATCTACTAGTGTAAATATTTTAAATTGACGATCAATTGCAATCATTGTATTCATACAGGGTCAAGGAGTGTAGCCGTAAAAAATCATCAAAATCGGAGTTAAAATAACCGTTTAATCGTGATTTTTGTTTATAACCATCGAAAAGTTTTGTCCTATTACTTATTCTATAAATGTTTATTTTTTCCGATTTTTGGCGTATATGATCTCGAAGTGTAAACAAACAAATTTGACGGTTGGATCGTTGAAACTAGTTTCGTAGAATACGTATGCCATGAAAACAATATATTCACTAACAAATAAGAGTTTATTTATACTTTTATTAAATATAACACAAGATTTTGTGGTATCTACTAGTGTAAATATTTTAAATTGACGATCAATTGCAATCATTGTATTCATACAGGGTCAAGGAGTGTAGCTGTAAAAAATCATCAAAATCGGTAAATGGTTGAAAACCCCTTTGGACTATTTGGCTTGTCGAAATGTCCACCCTGAATTTTTTTTTTCCAGCCAATTTAGCCTTCGTATTAAATTTAATCACCAATTTCACCCCCACCGTTAGGTTTTCCCCAATTCCATCCAAATGCCCGTCAAAAAAGAATAAAATAATCTTTTTAAAACACAAGTTGAATAAAATATTAATAAAAATAAAAAAACCAACAAAAACTTTTCTTTTTCTC